TATGTATATATATGTGTATATATATATCTATATATATACGTATATATATATATGTATACATATATTTTATGTATATATATACGTGTATATATTTATATATACGTGTGTGTATATATTATGTATATATATACGTGTATATATATAATGTGTATATATATATATACGTGTATATGTATAATATATATATATATATACACTTTTGTACTTTTTAAGTCATGTATCATGCGTAGGAACGTTGACGCCTGCAAGGCTCTGGTTTTCTAAATGATGTACACATAACGAGATCCAGGATCTCGTCATATAATCATCTCTTCTAAAGGATACACATGACGAGATGTACACATGACGAGATCCTGGATCTTGTAATCCGATCATCTCTTCTAAAGGATGTACACATGACGAGAAGCAGGATCTCGTCATCTCTTCTAAAGGATGTGTACATGACGAGATCCAGGATCTTGTCATCTGATCATCTCTTCTAAAGGATGTACACATGACTAGATCCATGATTTCAACATGTCTACATCATGCAGAATAGATAATCAGATGACGAGATCCTGGATCTATTCATCTGACCATCTATTCTACAGGATGTACAGTAGACATGACGAGATCCAGTATCTCGTCAACTGATCATCTCTTCTAAGGGATGTACACATGGCAAGATCCATGATCTCGTTATCTAATCATCCCTTCTAAAGGATGCAGACATGACGAGATCCATCCGTTGTTGGATTTCTTCTAATTTCTCATGGTGACCCAGGTTAAAAGGTAGCTAAGATTAACCCCCTACTCCATAATATTACGAACAAGAGCCTTGTAAATTTTGGGAATTATTTGTAGGGTTCTTGCATTGTTCAATCCTGATAAATCAAAGAATGCAGGAAGCATTATTTAAAACATAAACAGGAATATTCCAAATTAATTCATTATTAAAAGTTACACCAAGATATTTTACATGATAAACGCTTGAAATTGCAACATCACCAATAAAAATATGTAATAGCATTGTGTTCATGTTAGATCTTTAAAGAAAGAGTATGCAACATTTATTTAAGTTAAGGGGAAGTGTTGAGGGCGGTATACTTTTTGTAAGCACACTCGCTAAGGGATCCGGTTGTTCTGTAGATGATGGTGGCATGTGCACATTGGATAACTGTTGGTGAAATAGCTTTTGAAAAATCTAAAACGTTGATATAACTTAACAGGATCCAGTACTAAAACAGGACCCAGTACCGAACTCCAGATCGGACATCACAGAGTTCGGACAAGGCCCCACTATACACATTTGCTAGAAAACTCAGATTAGATCTCTTAACTGAGTTTTCTATATCTAGAAAACTTGAACCTTAGAATAAATAGACTATACCTTTATTTTTAGAGGGGATTTTCAACTAAAATATATAGTTTTATATAGGTTTACTTAAGTGCACATTGTCTATCTGGGTTTTCTAGTTCTTGAAAAATCAGATATCTTAGTTTTCTGGATTTGAAAACTCATATCTTTAAATAATTAGGGTATACTTTTATTTTTAGAGGGGATTTTTAACTGAAACAGTTTTATATAAATATAATAAAGGTTTACTTAAATTGATGCACATTGTGGATTTAAGTTTTCTAGAAAACTCAGATCTTTAAATAATAGACCATACCATTATTTTAGAGGGGATTTTTAACTAAAACAATTTTATTTTATTTCATAAGATATTATGACAGACCTGCCAGAGGCCTTAAGAAAGTCTAGTAATAGAACATTGTTGGAGGGAGGGCACCGGGCATCGAAAGTTGAAGATATGGTACAGAAACAAGCGCAATGTGACAGGGTGACAGGATTTGCCATTGAACTAATATAGGTACTGTAGACAATAACCCATAATGCCCTAGGTAATCATCAAGACGTTTACAAACGACCCTCTATAAAAGGGGTCCGTTGGCTAGTCAAAAGATTTGCTATTTATAAGGTCCATTGTTCATGTCGCATTATTTATAAG